TGTCCCGCGCCGCCGCCCCCAGCAGCCCCTGCTGCTCCCTCGCGCCTCGCTGCTGCTCCAGCAGCTGCTCCCGCAGCTGGGATGCCTCCACCGCCTGAACGGCGGCGGAGCAGGCAGACTTCGTTTTGGAAAACAAAATGAGCCTGCTCCAAAGAGCCTCCCCATGGGCCACCACGAGTGCGCTCAGCGGTACCACGGCACTGTACTGCTCACCGCCTTGGCCTCAGCCTCCGCCACAGCCTTGGCCCGGATGCCCTCCGCAGCCGCTTCCGCCTCCAGCCGCGCGGCGGCGGCGGCCTCCCTGGCCGCACCGGCCTCCTCCTGCAGGCCAGGCACAGCGGCAGGCAGGAGCAGGGAGCGGGGTGGGGGCGTCGGAAGCCCAGCAGGCACCCAGGCACGCGCCACGCGCCCCTGTTCTTCCTCTTCATGGAGCACCTAGGCTGGAAACCTCATCTCAGCAAGGTCCTGCGGCTCCACTGTGCCCACACCACAGTCCCCCCTCCCCTCCCCTCCACCCCATTCTACCCCCGCCGGCACCACAGCCTCCGCCCACCTGGCACTTGGTCAGCTCCTCCTCCAGGCGCAGCATCTCGCAGCGCAGGGCGCCCACATCGGCCAGCAGGGCCGACAGCTCCTGCCGCTTCACAATCGCCTCCAGCTTCTTCACCTCCTGCGGCGAGCATGGCGGCAGCAGCAGCAGCGGCAGCTCAGGCATGCGGTACCGTTGGCAGGTGCTTGCACTACCGCCTGGGGCGCAGCAGGGGCAGCAGCAGCGGCAGCGCGCCCACCCTGCCACCACCACACAAGAGCACACCCCCACCCCACCACCGGGACAAGCACAGAAGCCCACACACACACAGAAGCCCACGCACACACCGAAGCGCCCTCCCACCCACCTCGCTGAGGTGCAGGTTCTCCACCGCAAAGCGCTTGACCTCGGGGTGGCTGTCCACCTTGCCCCGCAGCAGCTCCACCTCGCGCTGCAGCTCGGCCACCTCACTGGGCGCATCCAGGGCGGGGCCTGCGGATGGAAAGCGTGGGCTTGCAGCGCTCAGCAGGGTGCTGGTGCATGCCAGGTGGCGCGTGCGCAGAAGGCAGCGGGCACCATGGCCACCCCTGCACCAGCGGTGGGGCACCAGCCCCCGCCTCCAGCCAGCCCACCTCCAGCCTGCAGGCGGGCCAGGCGCGACTCCTTGAGCTTCAGCATCATCTGCCCCCGCTGCAAGTCGCTCTCCTTGGCCTGCGGCAGGCGGCAGGCGTTGGCACGTGGCAGGCGGTGGCCGTTTGGCAGGCGGGTCGGCCGGCAGATGCTCGGCAGGCGGAACCGCAGCAGCAAGAGGCAGCAGCAGCAGCGCCGACTGCCCGGCACGGTTTCCTGTTGAGGGTGTGCACGTCAGCAAAGTGGGA